TGATCAGTTCGGCAATCGACAACGAATTGATTCAATAACATAAATAATAATGAAATAAATGAGCACTTATACACAACTTAGTCAATGCCTTGATGGATGATCACTAACCACGTTCTGACTTGAAACTTCGTCACTGAACAAGAGGTCTATTGGATCCTGTCCGTTTGGGCGGAAGGAATGCAAGAATGGTTTCTCCCATAACTTTTACCCTAGGAGGTATTTCCTCGATCCAAAGGTATATTTGAATTCAGGAGTTTAACGTGCAGTCCGTGAGGGTTTTTATTTTGCTCCAGGTTTGAAATGAAGTTTCAGCACCTAATGGAACGTACTTAATGCAAACGCATTTTTAAAACAGGTAACTATACTTGAGTCTTAAAATAAAATTAAAGTTAAATAATCTATAGTATTACTATATCAGAGGTACAAATTATTAAAAGTATTGGACAAATATTACTATTTAAATAGTCTACTTCATTAAAGTACTACGTTTCATCGCTGGAATAATCGTTGCTTGCTAACGCAGAGCACAGTTTTGTAGTTGGGCCTTCAAGCTTCTGCAAACAGGATATATGATCGAAGACGATGAGATTAAAAAAAACTGCGTTAAAATCGGCCCAGTGGAAAATTTCTTTGCATTCGACTCGCCCAAACGGACAGTATGAAAAACGTAGGACCAGCTTACAGTACCGAGGGAGCTTACAGTTAAGCTGGCATTCATTGAAAAATTATCGGTTTTTCCTGTATTTTACACTAGAGGATGTGTAATAAAAAACTGAGTTTGAACTCTGGCATTGACAGTGAAACACTTTGAAACAGAATATCCTGTCACATAGAACGTTTGAAACCAAAATCTTGAATACAATTTTACCCCAAATATAGATAACTTGTATATAATGATATTTGGTTCCACTGCACTTGGTATCAAATGGTAGAGGCTACACAATTTTCATTCCTCTTTACAGTATTATATTGAGTATTGATATATACAGTTTATTGTATATTACTACCATATACTACCATATATGATACATCCGGATAATTATCCGTTAAGCTCCCTCCTACGATTTCGTCAATTCACAAATGAATAGAGAAATTTTGTGTTTGCTACAAATTAGTATATAACTTGGAAAATAATTGCGGTTGAGGATTTCAAAATCGCGAAATCATAGGGAGGTAATCAAGCAGGAATGATGCTCAATTTTCACTGTGCTTCCGTGTAATTTCTATACACCTATGTCTGATTTCACTTGAACTTCTCTGGTTATGAAGGTTTAGGTGGAGATATGTGGTACAGCAAATATGTTAATACCTGTATAATATAATATTAAATTGTACGTAACCCGTAAACCTATCAATCATTTCATTTCCAATCGGAGGTATTACACTACTTTACTCAATACTACTATAATAGTAGTACATTATTCGATAGAATCGTTGAAATTACTTCACAGTCAGTACTAACGTTAATACTTCGAAGTAGTAACATACATGGCCAGTTTATGGTGCATGGGACAGTTTGAGTGAGATGCAAGCTTTTGGAATAGCCAATCCAATCACTAGAAATATGAAATCGCCAAAAAAATAAGCAAAACCCGCATACTACATATTTTAAGCTTACAGTTAAACCGTGCACCATAAACCGTCCCTCCTATTTTGCCTTGACATGAGTGGAAATCGAAGTAAATGAACGTAAGCTGAAGTCCATTTTAGCCGATTAAATCACCAGAAGAATGCCCAACCTTTCTGCTTCATGCAGCACTTTTCAGAATTCAAATCCCGTTCCTAAGAGACGAGTAAGCTGCATTCTACGACGAGGTCTCTTTCAAGTGCACCATAAATTGGCCATCTACGTAGTTACTTGCAGTTTGACTTACACTGTACTGTAGTCCTACTATTAATAACGTCGATGGCCAGTTTATGGTGCACGGGACAGTTTAAGTTGCACTCAAATTGGCCAATGGAATAGCTTGAGTTTTGGAATAACCATTCTACGGAATTCGTAGGCCAGAACTTGACTTTTGTAAGAAATCGTAGGCACACTCAACAAAGTGAAACCTATCAATCATTTCCAATTGGGTAGTACTAATACATCGAATCTCGCCGACTGAACGGCGCCAATTGGCCAATCCGAAATTACTTGTCTCTAATTGGCTAACAAATTATTTTGGATTTCTACTGGAAGAGGAGAAGTGGATATTAGCCAATCAGATGTCTACGCCCGGTTTGTATCCACAAGAATATGCAAATCTATCTCCATGCTGCGTCAACCACATGCCCACACGTTCGCAATGACAACATTACACGTGTTTGAGTAATTAGTATGTATACAGGTAGGTATGGTACAGGACGCTACAACGAACGAAGACGACAATGTCTCCACCTAATCTACGCACACAACGCTTGGATGCGGAGGTCATCGGACCGACTGAACTCGGCGTTGGTCTTGCAGTCGATGGAGCAGAACCCCGCCACGGGTGCGCGTCGTCTGAGGAACGAACGTGTGCAGTTGAGGCACTTGATCGAGTCGTTTGCAGGCACGGAGTATGAGTCGCGTCGGGCGTCGCCGTGGTTGATACAGAATGCATCGTTTGACTCGATGACTAGTTCGTTCACCACAAGGCGGCGGAACACATGCGCAGCTGTGATCCGGGAGGCCGTGCAACCCGTGTCGACGAGCCAATTCACCGCTTCCGACTTGACAAAGTACCGGGAGACCTTCATGCGCGCATGACAGGCGATCTCATCGAACGCGGACTGGAGAGTTTCTTCGTCCAGCGCATCCGCTTCGTTGTCGGACGACGAGTCATCCGACACGTTTGATAGCGCCGTGCTGAGCGTTCGTGTGGTGGGTTGGCATGTTTTACACACACGAACCGGAGTCGCGTATCCAAGTTGAGGCAGTGCAATCAAGCTAGGACTGCAGTCCGCACAGACAAGGCATCCACAGGCTCGGCAGTGATGCCGCCGCCGAGTCCACGAGTTGAACTCGCCGTTGCAGGCCGTGCACGCATCGCTGGTGTGGTCAGGCTGCCATGGAGCAGGTTGGCTCTTCTGGGCAGTGTTGTTGGGCGAACGAAAGTCGAGTTGGAGCGATGTAGCGGAGGCGGCAGGAACTCCCATGACGCGAACGTGGAAGCAAATACAAAAATGGCCTCAGCTGATGATTTCTACTGTACCGGTAGTAATAGAAATAGCCGGTGCCAAGACTGAGAATTTGAGGTTGATGTGAGTGCCACTGTATCCACCTCTATGAATTAATACTTCTCATACACACCTTACACAGCAAGTCACTGTAAAGTGCTAGGTTAAGGTCAGCACTGACGTCCAGACGTCCAAGGCAGAAATAGGAGGGTGAGGTACTAATGCAAGCAAAGCGCCTGCTTCAGTGCTCTTGAAAGATGCAATGGACAACACGTAACGTTATGGTTGACGACAACGCGATGATGCAAATAGCAGCTAGCCTAAGTATCCCATTTCGGGATCTCAAGATCTCTGCTGAATTCGTGGAAGCGTCTATGACCAAGCATTTGATTACTACGTAGTACGCGTGCTGAGGTAGTAGCTACCTCCTTGCGTGATACATGGTTTCTTTAACGCGTTGTGAACTTAGCGAGAAACTTATAGTTATTAATAGGTAGATGGCCAAATCGTTCAGTGACTGACATGTCGAAATTATGAATTGCTGGGGGTTGTGACTCACACAGTAGTATATTCCTGTTTGTGCTTCAGTTTAGCAAGATGTTTGTATGTGTATACGTAAATCCATTGCGGTGGCATTCGACGTGGCATTTATGCGGCCTCGAAGTGCACTCTGACAAGTTATCTTATTTATTTAATCAAAGAGGGTATGTGTTTTTAATACGGTACAGTACCATCAATAACCTTTTCGCACTGTCAGAAATAACCCGTGACCTACAGTTTCGGTGTATCTGTAAACCGTACGTCCGTTATGACACTCAGATAACATGGCAGGTCTGCCTTTGTCCAGCGCAGCCCCCAAAATCATTGTGTCGGACATACTAATCGTGTACGGTAGGTAGGTAGGTATATACGCCAAAGGTTCGATGGTCAAGAATCTCAAAAGGCGATAGTCAATCGAATTATTCGCCTGTCTATAAGGCCTAAAATCAATGCTATTCATCCATGAATTGGGATTTGTCGTGAGATGGTATTGGTACTGTCTGTACATGGCCGACAGGGTTGGCAACATAAGGTCATTGTGCATGGGGCCTCGGACACACATGGCAAATCATACCGCCCAGCATTGCCCTGATTCTTTCGAGGGGGTGATTCGAAACGTCCCCCACCAAGTAAATTTGGGTTCCCTCCACAACAGCTAGGTCGACGAAAGATTCATTTCCTCTAGCTCAGTCTGGCGTTGGATTGCTATCGAGAGTCTCAATCATCGTGGTGGTTCTACGACGACCCTCACAGCTGACATGGGACTTCCTAGATTTGAAACAAAGGGTTGTCTGAGTCAACAAACGATGTCTTGAAGTTTGTATTACGGTTGAGCTACCTTCAACTACAGCTGGTTCCCAGATTGCACCATGCGCACTCAGATCGTCCACCGCCATGGATTGTAGTACTGTACAAACTCAAGTGCCACGTCAGCCAGTCCAATCCATCACGTTAAAGTGATGGATTGGCCACTGCACCATTTACCGTAACGTTAGTCGGTTAATCGATTGAGACGTTGGCTCCAGCGAAGTGATAACTTCGGAGCAAGGTACTGGGGCGATGACTTCATATCCTTGTACAGTAGCCCAAACGTAGCTTGTACTGTACATACATGGCGCATCAACAGTTATAATTCGTAGTATTTCACAATGCACTTTTTGCGCTGGGGGGTCTAACGTTACGGGGTACATGTAGGCAGTGCAACGGACCTCGAAGTAGCCTAAGATTGGTTCAATGAGTTCGTTCAATCAATTCAAGGTGCGAGTAAGTAGGTACTGTATGCAGCTGTACGAAGACCTGGTTTTTAATAGCAATGCAATCTAACCGCATGCCCCCCCCCCCAAATTAAATGAGGCGCTTATTTTGGGGCATTCTACAATAGTCGTGCGCTGCACTTGACAGTTGTCCTGATGTGGAACCTATGTGCGACCGCCAGTAGTACCGGTACATTGTATGCATAATTTTGGGGGACAATCTAGCCCTCAGCGCCGAGCTGAACAGGCTAATATCATTGTATGTACTTGAATACAAGTTGTGTTTATCAATTCACGAGGTCAACCGTCATTGTTGTCGTCGGGAGTACAGCTATACGCGCCCAACCTGTTGAGCAGCACGTCCAAGTCATTCGCATACGTCTAGCCAACAAGAAACGGTGAAACCAAACTCATCGTCCAGTAATGTTGTTATGTTTTCGTACCTGTACACCCATTTCAAGTTCCAAGAGGTGCGCTACATAACCCAATGTTAGGTACTATGAACATATTTCGCTCCATCAGTAGATCACACACTAAGTAGTGTCGATATAAAGACCAGTGGAATCCACCATCGCACCATCAAACGCGTCGTCGTCCGCGACGTTGTTCAGGTCCATTTGACGGTGTAGTTGGCGTGAAATATCCTTGACATGCAGCTCAAATACTTCATGCCGCAGCTGCTGTAGCTTTTCCACATTGTCCGTCGACGAAGTGGACGCAGCCAACATGGCGAGGACCTTGGTCTCGTCGGCATTGCCACCTCCGTTCTAACTTCATTCTTACACACGACATGGCCAGACAACCACTTTGCACCTCTGGGGTTTGCGCTGCTTTCATCGAAGTTGTCCACTCTTTCGGAGTCGTGGGTGTACGCGTATGCCACCGAGCTTTGGCTTGCTATGAAGACGTATTGCAACGATTGGTTTGGGTGGCTAGACCAAGATGACTCCCTTCGTTTTCCGTTGGAAGCATACCTCATACATGTGCATCAGAGCCTCGTGCTCCGCATCGTCTTGGTCGGCCACTGCCGCCTCTCGAGCGATGTCATCTTCGGTGTCTTGGCGCTTCAAAGTTCAATGGTTGGCAAGATTGTACACCTCCTTCCAGTGCATGTATATAGTCGAAGGGAACATGTACCGACTCGATTGGGTACTGCCCTGCCACCTTGCGGGCATGATCGACGCGCCATTGTTTCAGATTGTCGATCACACGGTCCATCTAACCACCCACAAATGATGTAAGTGTGTAACATGACACTATTGAATCGCCAGACATGACGACGTACATCGTCCACAGTGACGTCGTCCGAAGCTGGGGTACTATCCGTGTCGTCGTCTTCCAGAGCTGCACCTGTCGTCCGGCCATTCTCATCCTCCGCCTGGTGGTCAGCTTCGGCGTGGTTGTTGCTTTTTCCAGTCCACCCAACTGCGACGGCTGCAGGCGACGGGACGGATACGTCCAAAGGCGGAATCCGGGCAGGAGCGCGTTTGACGTTTTTGGTCGATTTGAGCAGGGAAAAGCGTGGCCCCCCGTGGGTTGAGCGATACGATTTCCATTGGAGGGGGGAGGGGGGGTCGGTGGGGGTCTCCGGACTGGCAAGCCTCGACGATACCAAGGTCATGGGCGGGAATAGCTTGGACGGTGGATGGGATGACGCCGACGGTTTGGTCGGGAGGGTTTTCACCGGCGGCCCTGCTGATGTCCCTTTGTCCGTACTTTTGAACAGCATCTGTATCACACATGTCCAATATGGTCACGAATACACGTTGCAGTGCAGGATGCTTGCTTGCGACGGACAGCTATTGAAGAACACATACCTGGATCAATTTCCGGCCATTATGTTGGTACTGCTCCATGGCGGATGTGACTGGCGCCGGCCGCACCCTAAATATAGCTAACGTTATTGCTAGTGAAGAAAACAACGGCGACATCAAATCGGCGACCTATTGTCTGCAATGGATTACTCCGTGGTATCCCTAGATACGCAGATACAGTAGGAGATCGTCTCGTTCTCGTCCTGCCATCGCCCAAGCAAGCCTTCATCCATGGACTTGTACAATTTCATCCAGCGATTGAAGTGTCTAGTAAACTAAAAACTGTACCAAAATATGTGGCTCGCGTGGCCTAATGGATAAGGCGCTGCCCTCCTAAGGCAGAGACTGCGGGTTCAAGTCCCGCCGTGAGTGATCTTTTTTCTATTACAACTCCATGGTATTGATATTATAATTCGTACGTAGTTCTTATTACTTGGAAGTACTGTAGTATACAAAAAACGTTATATTTACGGCCAATTTTGATGCAAGTTGCACTGGACTGTGAAAAGTGTTATACATCGCACATCGAACGTCACACTTCTAACCAACTTATCCACCAGTACTCACGCGACTCCTTAACATGCTATATCATCATCGCCAGCTCCAATTGAACCAATACTTGGACTTGGGTCGTGTGAGTTGTAGGGAGGTGGCCCGTCCTCCTTCTCCTCGTCGTTTCGGTGGCTTGGTCCACGTGTGCACTTGCCGGCGGAGCTCGTCCACGTTCACGTGGATGCCATTCGAAGCGTCCGACCGCGGAAACCAGCAGTCCATGGCCACGTCCGCCATGTCTCGGCGCTGGTAAAACAGCAAATACGCCGCCGACATGAGCGTCGACAGGTTCAGGTTAGTCACAACGGAGACCGTCATGTCATCCACACACCACCACGTCGTCCGGTCGCGGACGTACGCGACGTAGTGGCCCGCGCCCAGCACCCCCACGTGGCACACGATGCCGTAGAGGTCGTACCCTGGCGGGTCCGTCGCGGCCGTCGGGTACGGAAACGTCACGGCAATGTCATCTTTCCACACAAACGGCGTCGGCACCGGATCGTCCGGCTTTTGGTCGTCCTCCTTGTCACATATGGCGTTGTTCACGGTATCGCACGGTGGTGGCATGGGTGGTGTGTTGGGCTGATTGGTCGACTTGGTAGTGGTGGCGGCCAAGAATGGCGCCAATGATAACGTGGCCGGGAACCGAATCGACGCGTCGGCTTTGACCATGGACTGGGTTTCGGAAATCGATTGGAATCGCTTGAGTTGCACGACAAGGATCGGCGGCGTGCTCCACAGCGCCAGACGTTTTGTATGGGCCACAGACGTGAGACACCGACTGCAGTACATGTCGACCACTTCTTCTGAACACAGCATGCCCACACATTCCTACAGTATCACCCCATGCCGTGATATATGTCCATTTATATATGGCAAATATTTTGGCATTTCATGTCCTAGTTAGTACCTCCAGTGGATAGGCCGGCGGAGGCGTGACGTGGAATTGCACGTACGACTTATGAAGGTCCACGGGCGCCGCAGTAGTTTCTAAGGTTCACTTGGCCTTAGTTACTGTATTCGTCCGTGACTAGTTGGCGTTAGTTGCTCGTACTACTACTACCTACTGACTACTACCTACTCCTATTGGCAAGTCGATTCGGAGTGTGGGGGGCTCAATCGAATTTGAGCAGAAGAACCAAATCGGCAGACAATCGATGATCGACCAATCAAAAGCGAGAACACGAATCAAGTGGCCAATCAAAGTATCCATTCGTCGACGAATACAACGTCGAATTAGTGTGTGAATGAAAAAATTAGTGTGAAACGGGACGATTTTTTTCCCATACAAAAGTCAGTACAAAGAATCGATCAGAATTGGCAAAGATTCCGCACGAAAGTCAGTCAAATTTTGGGTCAAAGGGGGCAATAACTCACCAAGGCCCCAATCAATCGCGAGCATTTCATGCGGTTGCAACACCACCAGGTGGTTGTTTAATCCTTGTGTATTTTCAACTTTGCCGTTTTTGCCGTCATCGTCGTCGGCGGTGCCGCCGCCTCCGTCCGGATCGACAGGACACCCGACACATGCCGACGTCCATGGACACCTGGAACATGCAAGGCCGTCCGACGCCCGGACGTAGCGCAATGTAAACGGCCAAGTGGGATGGAAGGCGGGCGGCAGGCCAAAGTAGACGGACTTGTCCATGTCCTACGAGCAGCCACGATTAGAAGACGTTGCCAGCAACTTATGGACGAACGGGGGACGAGGTCGACAGCGGCGACGGGGGGGATGGAGGCAGGTGGGTGTGCACCCACTTATACAAATCGCGACCGGTCATAGGTGTCGCCGACGGCACCAACAGCGGCGTGCCGTACAGCTGCACACGAAATGGCTGCAAAAAGTAAAACGGAACCAACCGCTGCCGACGGTACACACACTGGTACCGGCGAGGCGACGGCAGCCCAGACAAAGGCGCGGCCAAGCCTACACACGTCGTCGCAGATATTGTCAAGTCGATTCGACATTCGAGTGTTTGGGTGCTCGCTCAATCGAAGTATCACCAAATCGGCAGAGAATCAATCGATATACGACCAATCAAAACCCACAACAAGAATCAAATCTCGACCAAGTCAAGTTTTGAATTAGTGGGTGACTGAATTTAGTGTGACACTGGACGATCGTTACATACAAAGGTCATCGATAAGTCTACTAAGTTTTGGGGGTAAAAGAAAAGTCAATAATACCATCATAAGAGTACACGTGAAGGTCTTGGGCAATGTCTGCTAGCACTTGCTTGGGCTGGACAATGCTATGGACTTTGTGACTGTGTACAATCGCAACGACGACTGAAGCATGGGTCGAACATGTCTGGGCTCCGTTCTGGTCATCGAGGGCCGCTAGGAGGTCGGCAACCACGGCCGTCGACTGCAATTGGATTTTACGCTTTTGAATCCGATGGCCGTGGCCTAGATGGACGTAGATGGTGCGCCACCGACTGGACGACGCCGGCAGCGGCACTTGGAGGAACGAAAACGGTTCGAATCGGTTGGATGTTTGTCCGCACTGGGAGCAGTCAACAGCGCTCTTGAACTGCCCTGTGAACAGCGCCGTGATGATTGACGGGTCCCGCAACACGTGGGCGCGCCACCACTCGTACGCGACTTCGCTGTCCGGTCGGTTGTTGCTGTCGGGTAGGTCCACGTATGGCTTGGTTGTTTGGATAGAGTTAGCTTTGTTTGGGCTGTGGGGGGAAACGAGGGGTCGACTCAGGTCTTCGTTGAGTCCTTGGAGAAGTACCGATAGACACTCGTGCGCGTCGTGCTGGAGGTGGCCTTGAAACTGGGGGTATAACTTGCCAATCGCTACTTTAAAAGTGAGGGGCGCGATGGGGCGCGACCGGTTGGGGGATGCCATGGCGCGCGCCAGGTCGCCATACACGGCCGCAAACACCCCCTGCATCCCGTGTGTGTTGGTCACGTTCACATCGTACACGTACGCTTGTGAGACAAAGTACTCTTGCAACGGCGTTGTGTGAAACAGGCACTGAAGCACAGCGTTCATAAAGCACGAGTTGCCTAGGTTGCTCAATCCTACAGCACATGTCATGGAAGGAGGCGTTGATCTGGTGGGGGGTAATGGGGAGATGGAAGCTGGTGGTGGTGGCATCTCGGCACTGGACGAAAAAGTAGAAGGCGGCGGCTGGCCCCACGCCGCTTCGATCGACCTCGACAGAAACGAAGCCAACGTTGTAGTGGACCTTGAATGGTCAGTCGTTGGCGTCAAAGGTTGCCACGGTAGCCACACTGCCCCACCCACAGGTCGATATAACAACACGTCTGAGGCTGGAGATGATGAAGAAGAAGCTTTCGTCGTGGCCATGTGCAGCAAGCTTGGGACAGAGTCCAGTGGCGTGCGACTGCTCAAGACAACGCTGGACACGCTAGACATCATAGTTATATAAGTATTGTTAACCGTGCTTATTCTAAACTGGAGCGAACAACAGCATGGAGAGAATGAGCCAATCCGATTGCACGAAACAACCATCGTCAACATCACATTCGTGTGGACCTTGAATTAGTGTGATACCAATACTCTTGAATTAGTGTGATACCACTACTCTCAGTTTATAGACAACATTTCGTAGGATTGTCAAGTTGATATACTGTACATTTTCGAAATTGAAGTGTTTCGAATGCGAACCAAATCGGCACACAATATCGATAAACGACCAACACTCATCACAACACTCATCACGTGGCCAATCAAATGCACTCGTCGACAATTCAACACCGAAATAGTGTGTGTGTGACTGAAATTAGTGTGAAACTGCTGGACGAAGTCAAAGAATCGATCTTTTTGGCGAATTATCCGCACAAATGTCAACAGGTAAATGACAATACAACAAAGAATCGATGATCGATAGATTTGGCAGCACAATTGCAATCTACATTTTAGAGTAACAGGACCAGACAATACAAATCAACGTGTGGGCATTCAACACATTGATAGAGATATTACCTAGAGCCAACGTTTCCGTTCGCGGGTCCCGCCGCCGCGGCGTCTGTTGTTGCTTCCGCCAAGATGGTGATTGTGTACACTTTGGATTCCAACTGCCGTTGGTCATTGGTGACGCGCACCACCGCCGCCGCCGCCGTTATGGGTTCGACTGGAGCAAAGGAATTCCTCCCATGTGTACGACATTCAGCACACATGATCGCGTAGAATCGGCACAGCGCGTCATACGTGGCTCGATTCACAAACACTTCGTCGTTTATATCATCATGACGATGGAAGTCCCCGTTGTTCGTTGGCAGCTTGGCCGCGAGCATGTGGCTATCGTCTAGAGCTAGGAATGGCGTCCACATCATCGCCCTGTCTACACGGAACCATGCTTGGCCGGGTACCCCTGGGTTTGTAGTGGGGTGGTACACTTGCAGCAGACCGTGGACGATTTGGATGGCGGTGGCGGGCTCGACGGCCGCGCCGAGCAGACGGACGTGCACCATGTCGCAACATTCATGCAAAGCGTGCAGCAGATCGGGCTGCTCGCTCGACAACCAGCCGCAAAAGTCGGCAAACGTGACCGTGTCACATGCGACTAGTAGTTGGTCGACCCATCGCGAGATGTGCTGGGCAAGGGGCGGCGGGGCCACGTGGGTATGAAGAATCACATGAGCGTGCAAGAGATATGTTGGACTTGGCACGACATGGTACAGCAGTTCCGTCAAGTCGGATACATGTCCGTCCACAGAGGCGGCGGCGGCGCTGGTCGGGTGGTGGTGGTTGACTGTTTGGGAGTCGGCAAACAGATCAAAGAGACACCGAAGGCCTTCTAACATAGACTCGTGCGCAGCAAATGCGAGATGCAGCATCCAATCCCGCAAAGTCGGAGCCAAGTTGATTGCATTGTTTTGGCTTTGGCCATTGTCCATATTGAAGCTGTCCAAGTAGCTCCTACATGCCCAAATCATGTAATATATTAATAATATATATATATATATATATATATACAGAGAAATACGCATGTTTCCGTACGCTGGAAAGACTGAAGATCGGACAAATGTGTCGTGCAGGACGTCCTTGGGCACGCCAACGCCGTGGCCGTATAACCCGTGGAGATGATGGAATCCGTTGTGCAGCGCCGCCATCTTCTCGGGATACAGCGTGGTTGGAGCATGGTACAGACCCAGCACATGCAACGTCGACGGGGTCGTGGTGAGTTCGTTGGACGGCAGCAGCGCGGCGGACGCGACGGGGGTCGTGGGAAGAGAATGCTCCTGGAAGGTCATGGCAGCACCGAGCGCATGGACCCAGCTGACCAACGTGAGACCACCCGCACAGATCGACCCGCCCGATGACATCATGCGCACGCGAAATGTTTCCCACTTGAGTTTCTCGGCCTTGGCGAACAACGTCGACTCGAACGTCGCGGCGGTACAAGCCACGCCACCGCCGCCATCCACTGAGTCAACAATGTCTACAGACGTCGGGATCACCCACGATAGCATCGTACGGACGTCCTTGCGCGTAATATACCCCGACTCAGTGCTGTCCAGCACGCGGAACACGAGTTTGAGCTGCTCTCGAGGGGTGCCGACCTTGAGAACGCACACAGTACTGATAAACTCCTTGTACTTGAGGGTACCAGACAGGTCTACGTTGATGCATCCAAAGAGGCGCTCGGCCAGCGCCGTGGGAAAGTTGGGCAGCAGTTCGCGCACCACGGAATGCACGAACACTTGCTTCGTCATCTGACCATGCCCCGACGCTCGATGGAAAGCTTGCGTCGCGCGCCGCGTCTCCGCTTCACCCAGACGGGCCTCGGCCACGGACTGCCGCAAGATCGTGTCAGGGAGGCCCAAGATCGACGACCACATCATCCCGACCGACGCTATCGTGGTTCTGCAGCGGGCGTATCCGGATAACACCCTCGTTATTATTATCCGGATTGCAATGTGAAGTTGAAGCTGTATCCAGCGGCGCCCTTTCGCCATGCATCGATGACAAGAGATAGTTCATACTACTGTAGTCCACAGCGAGAAGTATGCTGTGTACATTGGATGTACATGAAGGATTCATCTCGACGATGAAGGAGCAACTAGGTCGCAGTTCAAGGAGGATTTCCATTACTCTAGTTGTGTAGTTGTGGACAGGATGTTGACAGGCCGAAGGATCAGCCCCGACGTGAGGTGTACCCCAACATGCTGTAGATAGTGGGGGACAATACCTATTACTATGTACTACTAGTAGCCCAAACTACGTAGTACTACTACTTACGGTACTCCATTTTGCTGTGTCTTGGTTAGTTGATCGGTCGTCGTTTTATAACCTTGGCCCTTGCTAGTTTGTACACTAACAAGTACTAGTATCGAATAAGTATTTATATTAATACATACATAAATAATATATATAATAGAACCCGCAGAATCTTGTTACAGTTTTTTTGCGCTGCCGTGGTGCAAACTAACACTTAACGTGTGGGAGATGATGCTTCACACCGGAGTAGTTAATACTAACAGTACATAGTAGTAGTGTGATAACCATACAATCATGGGACACAGCAGCACAACACGATTCAATCTATCACAGCCGCGAGTGCCACGTCACCGCCGGTGCTATCTGCGCATGCAGGCGTAGGTACCACTCCAGCAGCACAATCCGCCGCGAGGCGTCGCACGGACCTGCGATCGCCTGGTACACTGTCGGCATGATCGTCGGCTCTTCCCACATCATTTTCTCCACAACAACCAGCGCAAACGGCAAGTCCCGACTGGGCAAGACTTTAAGCAGCTCAAACAGGAGCGCCGCCAGCGGTTCTGACCGAACTCTGTCGCATGCCCACTTGTCGCAGATCTCGACAAGTGCAAATCGAATGAGCGCCGCGTCCGCTGTCATGGCCAGCACGCCCATCGCCATGTCCTTGATATCATCTGGACGAGTGAACGTGGTCACCATGCGGCGAATGTACACGGCACCCATCTAAATGTTCATCTCTCGGTGGTTTTGATTATATCTAGGATGCATACCTCGGAGGCCTGGATAGGCCGATCCTTGGAGTACATTAGCACCAGCGCGCGAAGGATGCGGTGGGCGTGGCGATGCAGCGGCGCCCACGCATGCCCGATGCCAGGCAGGGCTAGCTCAAACAGCATGTCCAAGTTTAGCTGACGAACGTGGCCCATCAGTTGCAAGTACACGTGCAACCGGTGACCAAGTAGGATGTCATGTTGCTGCGACAGAGTGCTCTGTGACGTGGTGGTTGATGCTGTGCGAAGTGGCGCCAGCAAGAGTGTCGTCTAACGTTAGAGGGGGTACCTTGAGCTATCATGTGGACATAAAACACACAAGTACTCGTGCCTGAGTAGGCGACAGTCGGGCGGCATGTCCATGCATGATCTCGAACGAAATGGATGGCTGGTGGTCGTCGGAAGCGGTACATGTGGGATGCAAGATTGGAACGGAGCTCCAGGAAAGGAGGTCCATCGCCGCTGAGAGGAAGGCGGCGTCAATCGACGGCAAAGGCGCGTGCAACAGGGTCGTAGTGAGGGCCACGATGGCGTTCAAGGTCGGCTTGATATGAAGTGCCTTCGAAGAAGAGGTCGAGGATGAGGATGGTCGCGAGGCAGGAACGACCTGCGTGGTGAAGTCAGGACGCGGCACCACATTGTCGGAGGATACAAGCTGAAGGATACAAGTGTATTGGCTGTACATGGCATCCCTGGTGGCGACGGAGACATCTTGGAGGAGGTCGGTGACGGCGTGACGCATGGAAGGAGTCAACGTGTCTAGTGGTAGATGCGACTGGAGAGTCGGAGGTTGAGAACCCGTGGCCAAGGCATGGATGAGTGTCGTATACTGAAGTGCAGCGTCGTATATAAGGCTTTCGGGACACCGGAAGGTTTTGGACAAGGGGTGGCAAGAAGCGAGGACAAACCCAAGCGCGAGGCATGGCGATGATGTGAATGTTCCCGCTGTCGCTAAGGACGTCCTCTGTATCTCGTGGAAGAGTGTCCATGCTTCGTCAAAGCGATGGCTGTCGTCGTTGTCGACGGAAGTCGAGTTCTCGACAACCACTACAGCGACGAACAGCGCAAGGATGGCCGCGGTTGGACGGATCGATCGATCAGACCACGCATGTCGTAAATGGTGCAGAGAAGCCGATAGATCCGACGACGGGTCATCATGGGTGCGTGGGAACGCCGTGCGCACCTGATCAAGTACATGAGGAAGGTCCTGTATCCCAAGGACGGGCGGCGTCGATGCCTGTAGATGAGCCTGGAACGCTTCCATCCTTGATGATGTCAACAACATAATATTTCGAAGCATACATATTACTAGTATTATATGTTTGAAAACATACGAAATACTATTAATATTAGTAGTACATACATATAGTAACGTTATAAACATTTTGATGAAATTACACTAACAGTTAGTGTAACTAGTTAACGTAAAAATACGATTACTTTTATTAATACTAGTAGTCGTTAACTAACTTAACTGCCTTGAGATGTGTCCGTAGAAAGTAGTGGCGTACTGCCGTGATAACCTGTCGATAGGTTGGAAGAAGTATTGTACGACTACTGCCTGTGGGGGCAGCTACAAACTTGGATTCCTTGCCAAACACACTCAACGACGTCTCAGGGCAACCATCTTCTTTCTTGCCATGCCATGCCTCTAACCACTCGACAACATGCCAATGCCCAAAGTCGGCGGCGTACGCGATAGCGCTGGCGGCGTTGATGGAATCGACGGTGGTTGTATGGACTAGCTCTTGGACGACAGACAGGTGGCCTCCACTTGCAGCATATATGAGGGCCTTGTCATGACGAGGATGATCATTAAGAGGATGGTGGAGGAAGAATTGAATCACGTGCAGATGGCCTTCCGCCGCCGCCGCGGCCAACGCCGTGTCCAAATTAAACTCGACATTGTTTGCAACGAGCCATGACACGATGTCCGCCCGACCGTCTTCGGCAGCGTCGTTCATGGTGTCCGCCGTCAAGACTACGTTTGGTTTGTGCGCAAGCATGGCGGCTTGGTGGCCTGCGCGGAGGATAGCGTACCCGTCGGTCCACTCGCGGAAGGCCAGGCCAGGCATGAACGCCGTGATGGACGTGAAGAGCCCGACGGACGGATCCAAGAAAATGGCACACGCAATCGAAGGTGGAGGCGATGCCATGATGCGGGAAGATCACAAAGTGGAGGCGATCGCCAAGGACTTGCGTAGCTGGAGTGCGCGACATCCGGTGCCCTTGTTGTGTATCATGGGAGTGTTTGTAAAACGTTTAAAACACGTAGCTGTAAAACGTAAAAAAACAGTAGATTGCCCGATTATTAGAGAATGACCCGAAACATTTTTCATGACGAAACTGATTTAATTACATATAAACTCTAGTGAATACGTTTCATATTAACAATAGTATTACGAGTCCCACTGTTCCGATATATCGTACAGTACCACAGTATTTAAATTAGAACCATATACTGATCTTGTCAAAATTCACAATTTTGACTTTGACCAGCAATAACTTGGTGAAGCATACGTCGAACCCTTCAAAGCTTGCTTGTATGATGTAACGCGTTCAATCCTCTATAACAGCATAGTTGAAAGATCGTCCAAATCATCTTACTTGTTGAGAATGCGTAAAAAAGCTAAGGGGTCCATTTTCGGGCCATCTATTGTTTTTTACGTTAACTGTAAATTCACTGTCAAACTCTAACGTTTCAGAACTATACAGTACAATGTACCGTGTAGTATTTGTTTGGCGACGTTAAGTAACGTTAATGGAACGTCCAAACGGACGTTTTCTAAACACAGGCACTCCGGATATTGTCCGGATATGATCTGGGGATGCCAGTAACGGGAATGAAATCCGGCTAAGGCAACACCCACCCGTGATCTTTATGAGCACCGCGTTCGATGACACGTCGTTCGACGGCACCAGTGGTGGGAGCAATCGATGACATGACCATGTGGCAGGGCGATCATGGCTCATGCATGTGTAGGTGGTCCGCCATCCCACCTTAGCACGAGCGTCGTGAATCCGCGTCCGTGGGAATGGGGCAAGTACGTGACCCCGTTGTCGCGCGAAGGCTTCTTGGAAAAGCAAAGCCGCAAGGATCGCACCACGTGGAAGCGTCGGTGGGTGGTCATGCAAGACAACGTGTTGTACTTCTTCAAGGAACCGTTCCCGGCTACGAACGTCAACCTGTACGAGAACGACAACTTGCTCCTGCAGCTGTACCGTCACGGCTCGATTCAACTCGACACCGTCGTCACCGTATGCACAGCGGTATGTCTTCCACATGGTGTTTACTGTCGACATGTCATGCCCCACGAGTATAGAAGGAGTGGGGGCCCGCCGCGTTCCAGATCAAAGTTCACGAGCGCAAGCACATCTTCAAGGCCGCGTCAAAAGACCAAGTGCGTCGTCGTCCCTCATACACACGACCCCGCAAACAGCATCTTCTCGAGCTAACCATCCCGGACATGCTGCATAGATGAACAGTTGGCTCTTTGAATTCCATCGTTCCATTGCCAACCTCATCGTCATGCTCCGTTCCAAGGTACTAACTACTTCGAGCGTCCATATATATGTTGCTATTCTTCCATATGTATCCCATCATGTAGAGTCTCAGTGCCAGCATCACTCGGCACATCGAGAGCGCGCGGCGGCAGCATCGCAGCCAGTCGTTTGACTGCCGGGACCACATCATGTTTGACCAGCTGGCATATTGCGTGCCCTACGACGAGTACGCGGCGCCGCTGCGGCACTCGATAGACTATATCGCCGCCGCGTCGTCGTCGCCAAACAACACTCGCACACCCCTGGGTAGCACCCCCACCAGCAGCAGCTTCAAGAGCCCTTGCACCAGCCCCAACTTCTTTCCATTTCAGCTGGACGAACTCGGGATGGACGAGGACGATGCCGTGGACGAAGAAGCAGCAGCCTTGCAATTGCCTCCATCGTTTGACGAGTTGGTAGCGACCACTACGTGTGAAACAGCAACTCCAATAACGACCTCCGCCCCGTTACCCAGCTCCAACGCGCCGACTACCCCCGTGGCCAAACCAGTTGCAACCGTGAAACGAGCGTACGTACCGCCCCATCTCCGCAAGGGATACGTCTCGCCGCCGCCGCCAATGCCATCCTCAAACCCGCCGCCTCCGATCGAGTATACCCACCTACATGGCGATAGCGCCATGCACGGCACTCACATGTTTGGATGCACGTCGCTCGTGGGCAAGCGGCCGTCGCTGGAAGACATGATCTGTGTCCGCCCAGACTTTAGCCCAACCCAAGCCGTCTATGCTCTCTTTGACGGTCACTCTGGAGTTCACGTACGTATGTGTATACATTTGGCTTTGTGTGGTTTACTATTACCTTGCTGGCGTTGAAGTTTTAGCTGTAATGTTAATCATTATTATTATGTAGGATTTATTACAGTTTTATGTCTTTTTGTTGTTATGATGTTAGGAAATAAATCTTGGTTTTATGATATATTACAGCTAAAATTAATGTTTCAAATTTGTGGGTTGATTTATTTACTATATATATATATATATATATATATATTCATTCTATAAAGTCTTTTCTGATAACTTTAAATGACTTCTTGAAATTCTTCAAATTTTTTAAGGGAGGATAGTATGATGTACTTGAGAATCAACAACAGTGGCATTCTGCATTCGATGTGGGATATGATATTGTCTCCTTTTACCCAAAATTTGGCTGACTTTATGCTGAATCGCCAAATCTATCGATCGATTGTTTGTACTGTAAACGAGTTGTCCTGTGGTGATTGGTATCACACTAATTCAAGTCATACACTATTGTGCTTTCGAGTGAAATTTCGTGTGGTGGCGTGGTTTCTCGTTGGAGTTTAAATCGATTTGATTGGCTACCTCAGATGAGCTCAACATTATTAGCCAATCAAAACCTTCTAAGTGAAATTCAACCAATCAGATCGATTGTGTATCGGTTTGGTCGGCGCGATTCGATTGCACCCCGTCCCCAAATTTGTATCAAATCGACAATAATTCAATTTGCAATTGTGTCATTGTGTAGCCATCCAAATGGAGATATATGGGTATAATTACGATATAAATGATTGAAAATCGACACGTTTTTTATATGTATCCAAAAAGGTTTCGTGTTCATACAATAGTGTAATTAAAATGTAAAAACTAATTAAAATGTAAAAACTATTGCAATGAACGAAAACAGGTGGTCGACTGAATACATAGTTATACTATGGTATATACTGATGTAGATATCAGTTGGTGGTTCTGATCTCGTTGTTGAAATATATTGTGCATTTCGCCCAAATTTGGACTTGTGAATCCCCATTTGATCCAAGTTTAGCTTGTTACAAACTATACAAATATTATGATATATATATGGTTTTGCCCAATGTGGAGGAGGGACAGAGTCGAGTCAAACGTACGTTTGGATTGGCCGAATATATATATCGCCATGACGTGATTTGATTGGCTTTGGCGGTTCTAATCGAATCCATTCGGGCTCCAGTTTCGAATCAATTTGGCAATATGGTTTTGTCTGAACAAAGCATATTCGTTGATATGCGTTTATTTTAGTGTATATGTACGGTACATACATAGGCAGCCAAGTACGCCATGAACACGTTGCCTGCGAAGCTCCACGCTCACGTTGGCTTTGACACCCCCGGGGGTTGGCGGCAGGCGTGCACCGACATCTTTCGAGAAATCGACGCCGAGTGCCTCGTTGACCCGACCGCCGCGGCCACGGGCACCACGGCGTCGGTGGTGGTCGTCCGCGGAACCAAACTGCTCACAGCCAACATCGGAGACAGCCGCGCCGTCATGTCTGTGAAAGGCCAAGCCATCGACATTATGGGGGTGCAGCACCCAGGGCGTGAAGACGAACGCTCCCGCATCGAAAAGGTACTTGATATCACAATAAACGTGGAAAAAGTCATTGAAGTGTGCTGATGATTAGTATATATATATATATATTTCAAGGATGCTATAATTTTCTCCCCAACTTGGGAGATAATACTTATATATATATGTATTTTTACTGGCTGTCGAAGGAGATGCGAGTTTTGATTGTCTAATGAGCGATGGACGACCTTGGTTGACAAGGCAGTCTCGATATATATATATATATATTATCTGTAATGGAAGGAGATATATACATCAAATCAAACGAGGATGTGGTCGAGTGTTGTAGGAAATTCGAGCGTCTTTGATTGAGTGTGAAAAAGGGAGATAATATTTTAGATATTTAAATATTTTTTTAAAAATACTACTTTTGGCTAACCTGAATATATATATATATTTATATTTATTAGGCGGGCGGATGGGTTGTGGAAGAGCAAGAACTCCATATGAACAAGCTGCACGGGATGGACTTGAACGACCCGCTCATCGAGCAAAAGGCGAATCGTGTGGTTCAGTGGATGCATATTTTTCGCGTACGTGGGTGTTCGATCTAGATGAAGTAATTTTATATATTTATATATTTTCCAATCCTGGATTAGTTATATATAAATCGATTTTCGGACATGTGTTTGATTATTTGTTGATAGGTGAATGGCGAGTTGTCCGTGTCCAGGGCAATCGGCGACATCGATTACAAGCGCCCGAATGAGTGCTCGACGTGGTTCTACCCTGAGAACCATCCCCGCACAGCGTTCACGGATAGTTTGGTGATTGTCGACCCAGAATTTGAGGTATTTGGTAAAAAAAACATAAATATTATTTAAAAATATATATTTTGTGGATCGGGTAGGAATTCGAAATCACGCCAGAGATTGAGTTTTTTGTGCTCGCGTGCGATGGGCTGTGGGACACGATCACGAGCCAGGAAGCAGTGACCCACGTCCGGGAAAAGTTGCTCCAGAATCTGTCTATGCAGGACATCAGCTACTCCCTCGCCGACCTCGCGATTCGATCGGGGTCCCTTGATAACGTCAGTGTCGTCGTGACCCTGTTGCAAGATCGGAGTAGCATAACGTAACCATGTAGTGGTGTCCGCTGGGTTTTGCTCTATCACTTTATATAGTTTCGTATGGTTTCATGTGATTCTAAATAGACTGGAGGATGATAATAGAGTACACTATGCGTCGTTGATTCATACATTGGTATGTATCGATAGGTTACTCTAATTTCGAATAAAACCCACGGTTGATCGTAGCGCATAATCTCGGTTTCCAGTGTAACTTAGTATATCCCTCGTCGTGTTGGGTGGTAAACCCATGTACTATTAATAGTACTAGTAGTTAGTACTCCGGAGTACCTGTTATTAATAGTACTCCGGGTGTACATATTTCGAAGTAGATGTGAGAGGGCCTGAACTTCGAAACAACATGTTTATAGGCAAGTCACCAGATTGCACTCTGATATACTCCACAGTGCAATCTGGTGACTACGTAGTACTTAACTACTCCCTCTGATCCTAGTATCAACGATATTTTGTCGACTGGTTGTACTGTAGTAATATTGCAGAAATTCGAGATCGACTACTATTAATAGTTTATTTATTTCGAATATAATATCGTAAAATCTAATTTGTACTACGTGATACGCAAAAATTGGACCGATAACCTTATACGGGTACCGTATGTGCATAGCAACATCAACATTGGGTGCTGCTGGGTACAAAACAGCAGAGAGAGCAATGAACTTGGACAAATCATCATCTCGCGTGCATTGTAAACTTCAATTGTGATTTGTAGTATCGAGTGAGAAGCCATACATACTGTGTGTGTTGCTCTCGACGTTTAAACGACATCAGGTATTATACTACTGACACGTTTGATGTTTGCCACATAGCAGTTTTATGACCAATCATTGGATTTAAGTGAAATTTGTATCAATCAAAAGAGAAGAATCTTTCTTGGCTATAAGGTCATATAATTATATTGCCATATTCTTCCAAAAACAGTGTGTGTATTCTTCAAATAGAATCAGCCGCTCAACAACCCAAAGTTTCACCTGTTCACCGGACACTTGAAGAATGCATGAAGATTGTCTCAAATATATTGAAAACAAGAGGTGTCTTCGGCTGTATAATTTAATTCCCAGGAAGGTGTCAATATCACCTTAAATGTACCATGTCACCTTCGTTGTGATTGGCTCTACTGTACTGGATAAGGTAATCGTTTTACTAGTCTGTCGGTTTTATACTGCAAAACATCGTTCACTTGTGTTCGGATTACCACAAGTGGGTGATTGAGTTTGGCTGATGCGATCCGATGCTACAATCGGATTGGCTCTCTGAAATTTCCATGGACCAATAAGAGAGACTTGTCAACGGACTATCAACCAATCAAATGCCTTTCCGAGCTAACGATACAGTAATTCACCATAACAAGGCAATCGATCATCTATCCATCCTTCCATGGGACTCATTCGAATCTTGGCCACCAACCTCCGTCGACATGTCCACGGTCAAGGAATCGCTGCAGCATGGCGTCGCGTAAGGAGCTGCCGACATCATCATCGCCATCCACATCCCTGACCGCCACATTGTAGAGAAACGTTGGAGCTTGAGCCTGTATCCATGGGTGAGTACCTCCCGTCTCCACGCAGCACCGCCACGGACGTCGAATCTGTGGGCGAAGCGCAGCCACTCGTGCACAGCGTCACCAAAGAGCACAAGGAACAGCACGAAGGCACGATCCTCGGCTCGACGATCACCCTTACCAACACAATCCTCGGCTCTGGCACGTTGGCCGTGCCGTACGCGATCGCGTCGAGCGGGTACGGCGTCGGCGTCGCGGTGATGGTGACCATCGCGCTCCTCACGCAGTACTCGGTGCACTTGCTCATGCTAGCGAGCGACGCCGCGGGCAACGCCGCCGCCAAAACGTACGAAAGCCTCGGCCACCACACCATGGGAAAGTGGGGCACGTACTTGGCCGAGTTTACGTTCATCTTTGGTGGGTTTGGGACGCTCACGTCCTACTTCATCTTCATCACGGACCTCTTCTGCGTCGTGTTCTCTGTGCCCAAGGCGTACCGCGCGTGGGTGACCGTGGCCTGCACTGTCTTTGTCATTCTGCCGCTGTCTCTGCTTCGAAAACTCGGCAAGCTGCGCCTCTCGTCGCTGCTGGCCACGTGCGCCGTGGGCTACGTCGTGAGCTTGTTCTTCACCGTGTACATCGTCGTTCAGAGCTCGGACCACCCGATTGTCGTTGACACTCCCGCGGTACGTACCACTTGATGACGACGATGGACAGATATCGACCCCATCCCATGTTGCACATGTATCGAATTGATTCAAGGCTTGCTTGTATTCGCATTTGATATATTTGATTGAGTATCAACAATATGGAGCTTGCTTGCTGAATAATAAGAAATGGCAAGTCTTAATGGCCACAAGTACAGTCAAAACAGTCAAACGACAAAGGATCGCGCTTTCAAATGGCGTCGGGAGTTGTGTCTATCAATACATATATATATATATAATTTATATATATAGATATTATTGCCTTGCCATATTATGAGCCATCATCCAATATTTTTCATATATGTGTATATTATTGCCTTGCCATATTATGAACCATCCAATTTTTTTCAGCCGGCAATGACGACTACTGTATCTGTCTGGAGAACAAAAAATTATATATATATATATATATATATATCGCCTTGGTGTATATAAT